AAAGTCACCCAGATAGCTTTCATGCCTAAGGCGGGACTAGAACTCACTGTCTCCTGGGGATTGGTACAAAGTCACCCAATTAGCTTTCATGCCTAAGGCGGGACTAGAACTCACCGTCTCCCAGTCATTGGGCCAAAGTCGCCCAGTGGGCTTTCCTGCCTGCAATCAGGCATCGAGACCAAACATGTTTAAGATCAGACATCAAGATAAATACCAAAACTGGCACGACTAAGATCGGAGATTGAGGCTGGGCGTGATTTATGAGGTCTTTTCTTTGTCGTGTCCGATCTTCGCCGTGCCTCGGCTCAATGTCAGATTCTCACGGGAAATGTGGGAATTGTAGTTCCGCTTGTGTGCGCCCATTTGTGTGTGCATGCGCGCGCTTTCTTTTGGCGTCTGATCCCGAACGCCTGGTTTTAGCCATCACAGAATTTAACTTACCAATGCCCATTTTTTGATGTCAGATTTTACCTGTCCCCCAATCTCGGTGTCCGATCTTCGCCCTGCCCGATAAGTTACCCCCCCGGCGCTAATCTTGAGCCCGGAACTCCCCCCACCCACCCGCCACCTCTCTCTTTCCGCAGGCCCCCAGCTGGCAGTGTGACCACTGCACTTTCCGCAACAGCGTCGGCCGACGGATCTGTGAGATGTGCAACTGCACCAGCCTGCACGGCGATACCCAGGCCCCCCTCGCCCGGGAAGAGAAGGAAGAGGTGGGCAGGGTGAAGAGAGGGGTGGTGGAAGCCCCCGGGGAGCCCCAGGGCCTCTGGAGAGCCCCGTCCGCCTCGCCCGAGGACGCGGAGCATCAGAGGCAGGAGAAGCTTCGGGACGACGGGCAGAAGATGGTGGATATGATCAGGGTGAGTTCTCCCCCACACACCCCTGCAAACCCACTGCCCCTCCTCTTCAAATTGAATGCCGGCTGTCGTGGGAATTGTAGTCCCCACACATTTCCGGGGTGGTGGTGGCTATCTTTTGGGGTCCCAAGGACCTTCGGATAGGAAGCCATACCAGGCTGCACGGACAGAGGTCTCTATTCACGACCACACGAAGTGTTAATACGGCTTTATGATGCCTTGGAAAAAGCCACACGTGGAATACCGCGTCCAGTTTTCGGCCTCCCCGGTGTTAAAAAAGAGAAGTTATAAGACTCTGGAAGGAGTGCAGAGAAGAGCGACGAAGACGATTAGGGGGCTGGACGCTAAAACGCGTACAAAGAACGGTTGCAGGAAATGGGTCTGTCTAGTTTAATGGAAAAAACAGGATTGGGGTAGCATGATAGCAGTGCTCCAGTATCTCAGGGGCTGCCACAGGAAGTCAGGCTATAGATGGATGGAAAAATAGAAAGAGAGACAGACAGACGATAGGAAGATTGGATAGATAGATGAGGGAGGGAGGGAGAAATGATAAGTAGATTTGGTGGAGGGAGAGAGGGAGAGAGAGAAAGGCATACGTACGTATCTATTTTCTTAAATATATTAAATATTTTCTTTATTTTCATGTATGTATCTATATATATATATATAAAGGCAAAAGACGACCCATGCATCGTCAAAGTGTCCAGAACCGTAAAGCCTACAAACTTGAAATTGGGCACATATGTTCCTCTCGGTGTTTGGTGCTCCCTAAGAAAGGATTTCTCGAAATGACCATCAAAGCATTTAGAGTATTTCTTATATTATTATTATTATTATTATTATTATTATTATTATTATTATTATTAACACACTGATGCAAAGGAGTCCTGCTCCCCCTCCCCACCTGAAAAGAAATCTCTTCCAAATGCAAAACACAAGCGGAGGACTTTAAGTTTAAGTTTCACAGCACTGAGCAGCTTTAGTACAGAACAGTTGAGCTAAGCCACGCCCAGGCTCCTTGCTGTCTCCATGCTCACACAGCAAATACTCTTTCAGTTTCCAAACAGCCCTTAACTCTCACACACTGACAGGACGCTAGCCAGATGAATTCAGATCGATGCTGGTAGTTAGAGGCAGAATTTTTTCCCATTGTTTTCCTCCCCAAAAAACTAAGCGCAACCATATAGTTTCATAGCGAAGCACGGGTATCGAGCTAGTTGGATATATAGTTATAGGTATAATGTAGATACAATTATGCGTATACATATTATAGATAGACACCTAGCTATGCGTGCCTTGGTGTTTGTGCGTGTATGTTTATCCTGCCTTTTAAAATTTAATATCTCCAGTTAGCTAATATACACAATACTCTCCACCAATTTTCCCCACAACAACAATAACGCTGTGAGGTGGGTTGGCCTGAGAGCAAAGGATTGGCCGGAGACACCCAGCCAATGGCAGGAGGAACCACCCATTAGCCGCGGTTGTCTCCTCGGGGAGGGGGGGTTATGAAACGGTCCTAAGTAGAGGACTACCTGAAACTCATTGTCCTTCCAGCCAATATAGTTGCTAGAATCCTCTCACCTTGGCCCTGGCTCTGTCACCTTGGCCCCACAGGAGGCGGAAACCGTGGGCGTAGCCCCCGAAATGGTGGAGGCCGCCTTGTGCTACTCGGGAGCCGAGCTGCCCCTGGCCTGGCTGAAGTCGGAGCTGCCCTGCGTCCTGGAAGGCATGGCGGAACTGGCTACTCAGCGAGGCGAAAAGGAGCCTGATGGTGGCCTGGGTGCCATAACCCTCCAGGAAGTCCAAACCGCCTGGGTGGCCAGCCGGGGCGACGTAGATGACGCCATCAGCCGTTGCCTCAGTGCCCGTCGGAGCAAGGTGAGCTTGCACAAAATGCATGGGAAAATAAGTGTTTTTCAACCTTGGCGACTTTAAGATGGGCGGATTTCAACTCCCAGAATCCCCCAGCAGGCGCAACAGTTCCCCATTTCATTGCCAAGCTGTAAAGTCTGAGCTGAAGTTTCCCCAAAGTTTCCCCGACATGCCAAACAGAGTGAGACTCGAAACGAGGCTTGCAAAAATAGCGGCTTTTTTTAAAAATTCTTTGGCCGAAGCGAAAAGGTCTGCGTGAATACAATGTCCAAAACATGCGGGCAAAATGCATGTAAGGAATAGCCAAAAAGTGCCAGAGTAGCTCAGAGTATTATATACATTTTACGCTGATAAAAACAAAGTTTATCCAATCAACAAAAAAAGGAAAGTTATTAAACATGGACAATGTCTTGCCCGTGCTCTGCCCTTCTTTTTCCATGGAGCGTTGTTTGTCCGTGCTCAGTCCATACTTTATTATTTTACACAGTACCCCTTGTCCTTGTGGGTTCGTGCTCCTGGATAGCTCCTTCCCACCCCCTCACCCCCATCTGTGGAGCAGGATGTTCATGGGAATCGTCTCCAAGGATGTGTCTAGCTCTGAAGCAAATTGCAGAGGCAAGAAACCAGATAGAAAAAGATACAATTCTCTTACAGAACGAATTCCGAACAAATGATTCCCATCCTCGCCAAATTGTACAAGTAACTTCTTTAACAGATGCGAAGAGCAGAGGTTAGATTGATTCATGTCAATAGGTCCTTTCAAAGCCATCTAGCTAGCCCATCTTTAACTCAGTTATTAATTTAGCTTGTCATGGGTTATTTTTTTCCTACTTTGCTGAAGTCAAGATATATTACATCTGCCGCCTTCCCACCGTCTACTAAGAAAGCTTCCCTATGAAAAAAAAAATGCGACAAAGGTAATCCAGCCATACAGGTAGATCTCGACGTGGTATCATTAAGAGTCATGGCTTACGTTTAACGTACTCCTCGACTTACAGGCATTCATTTAGTGACCGTTTTGAAATTACAACAGCACAGAAAAAAGTGACGTAAGATCACTTTTCACACTTAACGACCAGTGCAGCGTTCCTATGGTCACACATGATCAGAATTCAGGGGACTGTAAGTGACGTATGTCAGAGTTGGCTTCATACAGGGTGGTGCCTCTAATGAATCCTCTGGAGTTTCTTGAAGTTTGGCTCGAGAATCGTGATTTAATTAGGGCGATGGCCGGAATCCTGACAGAGCGTTTCTCAAACTCTGTGCGTGCTCTCACCAAACCAGTCCTTACCCCCGGTTGAATCGCACCCCTGCATAGGACCAACTTAAGAGCTGCAGTGATTCGCTTAACAACTACAGCAAGGAAAATCATTACATGGGGGAAACTCACTTAACAGCTGTCTCACTTAGCAACAAGAAAAGCTGAGCTGAACTGTGGTCGTTAATTCGAGGACTACCCGTGATTCCTCATATCCAGGCCCAATTCTGGTCAAACCCTTGGTGGCTGGGGGAATTCCAGGAGTTGAAGTCCATCCTTCTTCGGCCTGACAAGGTTGCCTAAAGATATGTCAGGTTTATTTCTTGAAAGGGGACGCTAACAAGGTTAGATCCCGGTTAGGGCTCGGTTTTGGGAAGGTGACGCCAGGCATGGTTTGCTCCACAGGTGAGAGAGTTGAAGTCCCTGGGCTTTGAAGAGCGGGGCCCTGCCTTACAGGCCCTGTACGAGAACAACGGCGACTTATGGCGGGCCCTGGTGCAGCTGCAGCGGGCCCGCCTGGCGCCTTTCCACCAGAGGCTCTGGGAGAGCGAAGACCCTCCGGTGAACTTCCAGAGCGCCGACCGACAGGTAAGCAGGAGAGGAAGGGAAGGGAACCCCGGGCCGGAGATCCAGCGGGAGGCACCCCTGGTCCTTTTTCCGTCTCGTTCTTCGCCAGGCGCTGCTGCGTCGTCTCCTGGCCTCGCTGTCTCTGCCCAGCTGGGGCCGGGCCGAGCTGGTGGTCTCATTGATGCTGGAGCAGCCGGACGAAGGCTGGGAGCTGTCGGACATCGTGGAGGCTGTCAAGGCCTCCCCAAACCGCGACTTCATCAAACGCTTGCTCAGCTGGGAGTGCGCCGTCTGCAGCCTGGCCTTGCCGCGGAACAAGGTACCGACGTGCAACTTTCGTCCATGCTGGGGCTTGGTTGACTGCGTCCGACCCGTCATTCAGTTTGGGTCACCACAATGTAAAACAATATGTTGAAAGTCTTTTAGGAAGAGTGCAGAGAAGAGCAACAAAGATGATTAGGGGAATGGAGGCTAAAACATATGAAGAACGGTTGCAGGAACCGGGCATGGCTAGTCTAGGGAAGAGAAGGACCAGGGGAGACAGGATAGCGGTCTTCCAATATTTGAGGGGCTGCCACAGAGAAGAGGGAGGGGGGTCAAGCTATTTTCCAAAGCACCTGAGGGCAGGATGAGAAGCAATGGGTAGAGACTAATCAAGGAGAGAAGCAATTTAGAACTAAGAAATTTCCTGATGGTTAGAATAATTAGATCAATGGAATAACTTGCCCCCAGAAGTTGTGAATGCTCCAATACTGGAAGGTTTTAAGAAGAGATTGGACAACCTTTTGTCTGAAATGGTATTAGGGTTTCTTGCCTGACCAAGGGGTTGGACTAGATCAGGAGTCACCAACCTTTTGGACCTCAGGGACCACCAAACTCATAATTTTAAATCCCAAGGACCACTAACCAGTTCTGTGGGCGTGGCCTAATTTATGGGTGTAGCTTGGTGGTCATGTGACTGGCTGGGCATGGGTTGTATGTAAATATTATATAAATATAGATTTCTTTTATAAGAAAGAGCAACTTTTACCCCAAATCAGAAAAAGCAGGCAGGCAGATTGAGTTGCTTACAGAATTACAGATTCACTCAGAAATCTATCTATCCGCCATCGGCTAGTTCAGTCTGTCACACAAAATTTGCTTGCAAGCAAACTCACAACACACCATATATGTAAATATTGGATCTTTTATTTAAAAAGAGCAACTTTTACCCAAAATCAGGCAAAGCAGGCAGGTAAGATTGAGTTGCTCACAGAATCATTCAGTGATCTATCTATCCGCCATCAGCTAGCTCAGTCTCTCAAATTTGTTTGCAGTGAGTCTGCGCAGAATAATAGAACCCTCAGTCCTAAGCGAGGGTTGGCTGTGCTTAAAAGCAGAGCCGAGGATCTAAAGACTAGCTAAGAAAGCAAGAAATCCAGCCATATCCTGCTTCCTAGCTAATCTAAATCTCCCGGCACAGCAGAACAAGATGATGGTCGGAAAAAGGAAAAATAGCAACTTAGCAGGCAAGTTTGCCTGGTGACGAGTGAGTGGGCGGGGAGGGATTCCGTGGGCCATGCGGGTTTCCGCAGGCCAATTTCTGCGCAGCCTGGATTAATTGCTTTGGGGGGAGTGCTCTGGGGGTGAGATTTCTCTTCGGCCCACCAAAATTTTCTCACGGCCGACCAGTGGGCCGCCGCGGCCCACCGGTTGGCGACCGCTGGACTAGAAGCCCTCAAAGTCCCTTCCAACTCTGTTAACCTGTCAGTCCTTCTCTCTTCAGATGCAGTCACTAACGTCGTGCGAGTGTACAATTTGTCCGGAGTGTTTTGCTTTGCACTTCACCATTGCCGTAAAGGAGAAACACATCACGGATTTAGTGTGTCCAGCTTGCTCCGAGCCGGAGATCAGCGATGAAACTGAACTTCTAAATTATTTCTCTACTCTTGATATCCAGGTGATGCTTCTCCTATCCCATTTCTCCCCTCATTTCTCTGATTTTGTACCAGTGTATTTTTATTTTATTTTTTTAAAAGAGTTTATTTATATATATTTTTTAACATCCATAAGTGCTTTATGAACCGCGTATTATCTGTTGCAATTTGCTTACAAAGTAATATATAATATAACAATATATTAAACAGACGACATACCAAATAGAATTTTTCCGATTTCTAATTTCTACTTCTGTTGACAAACTATTTATAAAATAAGTCCCCATGTTTGAAAATATTCTGTATCTTCTTTATCTTTTTTCTTTAATGTCAACCTATCCATTTCTGCACAATCTAGTTTTTTTTTTTTAAATTACATCTTCTATGGGCTTGTCCATGCATATACAATTGTTGCTCCCATCAAGACAGGTAATATTAAATATATATTCCCTTTATCATATTTTTGTGGTACTATGCCTAACAGAAATATTTCTGGCTTATAATCTATGCGTTGCTTTAACATTTTTTCTAACCGTGTATGTATTTTCGCTTTTGGACATGTCCACCACATATGATGATATGTGCCCAATGTCTGATTATATTTACATTTGGCAGACATGTTTTAAAACATCTTTGCCAGTCTTGCTGATGGCAAATACCACCTATAAAACATTTTATACAATTTTTCCTTAGATTTAGTTGCCATTGTCAATTTATAATTTCTATCCCAAAGTTTTTGCTGCTTGTCTAGTTCTATAGTATATCCCAAAAATTTTTTGTCCATGTTATCATTGTTTCTTTCACCTGTTCATCTTCCATTTTTAGGCTTAATAAAAGCTACAGTATTTATTTTATTTATTTAACTTTTCATCTGTGGCTAATAATACTCTAGTTTTGAGTGTTCAAATTTAAAGTAATCTTATCTATTTTATAATATATGAAAATAGCACCAGAAGAGGGAAGGAAAAGGGAGGAGGAAGAAGTGTAGGATAAAGGGAACAAAAAAATGAGAAGCATTAACTTCCTTTTGGGCGTAGTAGAATAAGCGAATAACATAGAGTAAGTATCAGCTTTCAGTTCAGAACTGGTTTCCAAGTGGAAATGAAACTAGACAGAAGTTCCTGCCTTGCAGTTATTTATTTTATTTATTTAAACAAATCGATAGAACCACCCAGCTTAAACCTAGCTGACCAGTTAACAAGGCTTAAAATTTTTTAAAATATCATAAAAATATCATTAAAACAAGCCATTAAAACTATCCAATTTGCCATTCTGTGCCAACTCCATCCCTTTCTCCATCCATGGAGGAAATTGGCACATCCAAAGTTATCTCTGTTGTCTGCACACAGGTGGCCCTCGACTTATGACTACAAAATTGCTAAGTGTGACATTTATTAAGGGAGTTTTGCCCCACTTTACGACCTTTCCTGCCACCGTTGCTAAGGGAATAGCTGCAGTTGTTAAGTGAGTCGCATGGTTATTAAGTGAATCCGGCTTGCCCCATTGACACTGTTTGTCAGAAGGTCGCAAAAATGGGACTGTCATAAATATGAGTCAGTTGCCGAGCGTCTGAGTTTTGGCTATGTGACTGTGGGGGATGCTACAACGGTTGTAAGTGTGAAAAGAGGTCATAAGTCACTTTTTTCAGTGCTGTTGTTAACGGTCACTAAACGAGTTGTTGTAAATAGAGGATGAGCTGTATAGCAAAGTTACAAAAATGTCTTTCGAGGCCCTCATGCATCAAACCCACAAAAAAGTCTTTCTGGGGTCTTTTTTTAGTTTAGTTTATTGTCATTGCACCTCCAGGGGTGGGATTCTACCAGTTTGCACCTATTCGCTAGAACCGGTTATTAACATTCTAAGCAGTTTGGAGAACCAGATATTAGAAGAAATTACTGGCCTAATCCTGTAAGGAAGGCAGGAAGGAAACATTCTGGTGTTGCTTACAGAAACTGCCTCTCCGTTAACCCTTTTTACATTCTTGGCAGGACTAGACTTCCTATCTCAGGAACTTCTCTGGAGTTTTTTTTCCCCCTCCTTTGCTGGTATTTTGCTTGGGTGGAGTGACCATTCAAAGTTACAATGGCGCCGAAAAAAGTGACTTATGACCATTTTTCACACTTACGACTGTTGCAACATCCCCACAGTCATGAGATGCGTGCTTGAATGTGAGTGATATTGAGCTGGCCACGCCCAGCCAATAACATGACCACCAAGCCACGCCCACCCAGTCACACGCCCACCTACTAAGCCACGCCCACAGAACCGGTTGTTACAAAATTTGAATCCCACGCCTGTGTACCTCAGATGACCAAATTAAATGCCATCTTCAGTATACATTATATTATAACTATACATATAAAAACACAAACACACACCCTTTGCATTCTGTACAGCTGAATTCACATTGATATAATTGATATAATTCATATTGCACGATACAGTAGAATTCAATAGAGTTACTGCTTTGGTTGAGAGATGTCCGGTTGATCCTTTGCAAACTTTTTGGGGGTACAGATCCCCTCAATTTTTTTAACATTGGATTTCTCCACAGTTGCGCAGTTGTTTGGATCAAGAGACTTATGACCTGTTCCACAAGAAGCTGACCGAACATGTACTAATGCAGGACCCCAAATTTCAGTGGTGCACCCATGTGAGTAGCCCCTCGGTTTGATTTTGTTTCTTTTTTTAATGTATTATTTTATTTATACATTTTTCTTTAACATACATAAGTGCTTAGTAAACAGCGTACTGTCTGAGTCCATTTCCTTAAATAATAATAATAATAATAATAATAATAATAATAATAATAATAATAATAATAATAATATTTACTTGTACCTAATGATACCATTTCCCTGAAAATACGACCTACCCTGAAAGTAAGTCCTAGCTTGATTTTTTTTACATGTGTGCCCAATATAAGCCCTACCCTCCAAAATAAGCCCTAATTAAGATCCCGCCCACTCCAGGTACACAGGTAAAAATAAAGGTCAGGTGGGGATGGGGAAGTGGACCTCCAGGGAACAGATGGCCACCTTTCCTAGGGTCTTCCCGGTGGGGATCAGGTGGCTGTATTATCCATGAGGCCACTAGGGATGACGGGAGTGGTAGTATCATGCATCAGTAGGCTTCCTGGCTGGGGAACATGGGTGTCCGAGACTGGTCTGATCACCTAAGAAGACTGTAGAAATAATAGGTTTCCTGCATTGCCTTTTTTTAAATTTGATTGGTTTCTACAGAAATTTTGATCCAGAATTTTGGATTATTGTTATCGGTCCAGTGCTTAAGGAGCCAGGCTAGAAGCCAGGAGACTGGGAGTTCTAGTTCTGCCTTAAACATGAAAGCAGGCTGGGTGACTTTGGACCAATCACCATAGTTGTAATCCACCCTAGGCATGAAAGCTGGCAGGGTAATTTTGGGCCAATCACCAGGAAACTGGGAGTTCTAGTCCTCCCTTAGTTTCGATAGCCAGATGGGTGACTTTGGGCCAGTCACTAGGAGATGGGGAGTTCTAGTCCATCCTAGGCACGAAAGCTGGCAGGGTAATTTTGGGCCAATTGCTAAGAGACTGGGAGTTCTAGTTCTGCCTTAAGTACGATGGCCAGATGGGTGACTTTGGGCCAGTCACTAGGAGATGGGGAGTTCTAGTCCATGTTACTCATGAAAGCTGGCTGGCTAACTTTGGGACAATCGCCAGGAGACTGGGAACTCTAGTGCCGCCTTAGGCACGATACCAGATGGGTGACTTTGGGCCAGTCCCCCCTCCACAGCCCAAACCACCTTGCAGGGTCGTTGTTGCAGGGAAAATAGAACAGTTGAGTAATTAGATAGGTTCAACAGCTCCTTATAAAATAATCAAGACGGGGTAGAAATCAATAAATAGTGAACATCCATTCATCCCCAAGCGGACTAGGAGCTGGTTGCTTTAAAAAGACAAGTCAAAATGTCCAGGTCATCATCGGAATAAGATGTAAGGACTCCATCGGATTTAATTTCTTTTTTTATTTAAGGACAGTCTCTGCATCCACTTCCCAGAGTCAAGAAAGATCTGATCCCAGCCCGGGCTAAAAAGGATTTTTTTTCTCTCTCTCTCCTTGTCCTTAGTGCTCTTTCGGTTTCATTTACGAATCGGAGCAGCTGGAAGCGAAATGCCCGCAATGCCGGAAATGTTTCTGCGTCCAGTGCAAACGCCAGGTTGGTAAGCCTTTGGTGTGGAAATATTTGTCGAAGACAGTACAGCCTGCCTGAGCAGGGGGTTGGACTAGAAGACCTCCAAGGTCCCTTCCAACTCTGTTATTCTACCCTATATTTAAATTCAGTAGCTGGAACTCTGAAGGGTTGCACCGTAAGTCAGTTCACAACAGTTACTGAAATGTATTTGAATTTAGTAAGCTAGAAAAAGGTGGAATAGATAGCACCACCCACTAGATGGACTCGCAACTGGCTGGCAAACCCTACTCAACGAGTAGTCCTTAATGGGTCTAAGTCTACATGGAGGAAAGTAAGCAATGAGGTGCCACAAGGTTCTGTCTTAGGCTCAGGACTCTTCAATATCTTAACGACTTAGATGAGGGAATAGGAGGGGAACTTACCAAATTTGCAGATGAAAGTAAGCTGGCAGGAATAGCCAACACCCAAGAAGATAGGCTCAAGATCCAGATGGATCTTGACAGACTAGAACACTGGGCCGTATCTAATAAAATGAAATTCAATGTAGAGAAAAGTAAAGACCTACACTTAGGCATGAAAAACCAAAAGTACACATATAGACTGGGTGAAACCAGGCTCAATAGCAGTAACTGTGAGAGGGATCTTTGAGTCTTAGTGGACAACTAGTTAAATATGAGCCAGCAGTGTGCAGCAGCAGCCAAAAAAGCCAATGCAACCCTAAATTGTATTAAGAGAGGGATACAGTCAAGATCAAGGGGAGTACTAATACCACTCTATAAAGCTTTAGTAAGACCACACTTAGAGTACTGCATCCAGTTTTGTTCATAACATTATAAAAAAAGAGGTTGAGCCTCTAGAAAAAGTGCAGAGAAGAGCAACCAGGATGATTAGAGGACTGGAGGCTAAAACATACAATGAACGGTTGCAGGAACTGGACCTGGCTAGTCTAGTGAAGAGAAGGACCAGGGGAGACAGGATCTCCCCTATCCAGAGAGGAGGAGGGGGGTCAAGCTATTTTCTAAAGCACCCGAAGGCCAGACAAGGAATAATGGATGGAAACTGAACAGGGAAAGATTTAATCTGGAAATAAGGAGCAACTTTCTGACAGGGAGAACCATCAACCGATGGAACGGAAGTTGCCCTCGGAAGTTGTGCCATCACTTGAGACTTTCAGGAAGACGTTGGGCTGCCATTTGTCAGAAATGGTGTAGGGTCCCTTCCAACTCTGATTATCTGTTATCTGTTATAAGTAGCTCGGATTGGATGTTGGGTTGATGGCCTGAGCTCCGAGCTCGGCGATTTGGGTTGCAAACGCTTCGTCACTGTCCGTTCACTTTGAAGTGGGCTCATCTGTCAGACAAGCCCAATTCGAAGCGCACTGACGACGTCTCCTCAGACGGTGACAAAATGTTTGCAGCTGTTCTGTTCTAGGCCTCCCCCAAAAGCACTAAGTCGATTCTGAGTCCCGGCAAAAAACTCTTTTATTACATTCATGCGAATGTATTTCATTCACAGTCAGCCAACAGCTTGGCAAACAGTCTTGCAAAGGTATTCTAATTAGCTCAGACCTTTATCAATCCTGGAAGACTGCTTGGTATAATTCCACACTCAGTGCTGACAGGGAAGGTCTGGGTTATACAGACAAATCTTCATGAGGCTGGAACGAACGAGCAAATTGTTTCCTGCAAAAGCCCCCTCCGCTTTTGCTTCTGTTTTAATCCTGATGGGAGGGGCCATTCATCGTCCAAATGTGGCCTTACTCCCACATCGACCCCTGAGTTCTCAATTGTGCCTTCCTTTTGGCAGCTCTGCGCATGCGCAGGCTGGGAACTGGTTCCAGAAGCTTCCCCGCCTCACTGCTGTCCAAGCCCAAAGGCAGCTGATGACTGCCAGCCTGCCCTGGCCCCATCTCTGCCTCCGATGCAGAGCCCTTCCTCAGCCTCCAGGACTGGCCTGGGTTCCTCCCCAGCCTCCTCACTACCGTCCGATTCTGCTGCCAGCTCTGCCAGTTACCGGCAGGCCACAACAGCAACCAAATCGCCAAGCTCGGAGCTCAGGCCAACAGCCCACAGAACGGTTATAGCGGATTGGTCGGAAAGAGCTAGCGCATGCCCGAAGCAATCTAAGCTTCTGTTTGTTTGAGGTTGCTTGGCCTCTTCTCCTGTTGGGGAACAGGAGGATGGAAGGCTAAATGCTGAATTTGGGGTGTCTCTTTTTTTTTCTTTCTTCCGCGGCGACAGTGGGAGCCCCAGCATCAGGGTCTGACCTGCGAAGCGTTCCTGGAATGGAAGCGAACCAACGACCCTGAATACCAGGCGCAAGGCTTGGCAATGTATCTCCAGGAGAACGGCATCGGTAAGGGTTTTGCCCCCAGTTTCATTTTGGGACACGCCGAGAAACTTGAGGTAGCTTTGAGCCAACTTGAGTTTCCTACACTAAGCATAGAGCTGGATTCTAATGCTCCCACTTCCTATCCCCAATGCTTGGGAGTCTCTCCTCAACTTGCTGCTTTGGCCTGGGGTTGGACTAGAGGACCTCCAAGGTCCCTTCCAGCCCTATGATTCTGTGATAGAGACAGTGTCGTCTAGTAGTTAAGGCAGCAGGCTGGAAAGCAGGAGCCCGTGAGTTCTAGTCCCACCTTAGCCGTGAAAGTCGGCTGGGTGGCTTTGGGCCAGTCACCACAAGGCAGAGAGTTCTAGTCCTGCCTTAGGTACAATAGCCAGATGGGTGATTTTGGGCCAGTCACTAGGAGATGGGGAGTTCTAGTCCATGTTAGACACAAACATTGTCTAGCTAACTTTGGGCCAATTGCCAGAAGATTGGGAATTCTAGCCCCACCTTAGGCAAATAGCATGATACGTGACTTTGGGCCAATTATTAGGAGTGGGAGTTCTAGTCCGTGTTAGGCATGAAAGCTGGCTAGCTAACTTTGGACCAATCACCAGGAGGCAGAGAGTTCTAGTCCTGTCTTAGATATGAAGGCCAGCTGGGTGACTTTGGGATAATCACCAGGAGACAGGGAGTTCTAGTTCCGCCTCAGCCATGAAAGCCAGATGGTTGACTTCGGGCCAGTCCCTCTCTCTCAGCTGAACCCACCTCACAGGGTGGTTGTTGTGGGGAAAATAGGAGGAGGAAAGTTTATCGGTTATGTTTTTCACCTTGAGTTACGTGTGAAAATAATAACAGGCGGGAAACAAGCCAAGGAGTAAAAATCCCTTTTTCCTCCTCTTCTTCCAGCTTGTCCCAAATGCAAGTTCTCGTACGCCTTGGCTCGAGGGGGTTGCATGCACTTCCAGTGTTCCCAGTGCAGGCACCATTTCTGCAGCGGATGCTACGGGACGTTTTATGCCTCCAACGTAAGGATGCTCAGGGATTGTGTGTTTGCGGGGCAACTCTGGAACTCGGTACCCTGTTGCTATTCATTCTCCCCCTGTGGGCCTTGTAGCGGTGAATTTGGGGAACGGAGGCAGAGATGGTTAACAAAACCACAGGAAAAATAAGATACAGGTAGTCCTCAAACGTACGACCACAATGGAACCCAAACTTTCCATCGCTAATAAGCAAAACTGAGTTTCGCCCCAGTTTACAACCTTTTGCCACCGTTGCTAAGGGAATCCTTGCCGATGTTAAGTGAGCAATGAGCCCCGGGCAATGGTTGTTCAGTGAATCTGGCTTCTTCCTTCAAATTACTTGTCGCAAAAGGGGATCACGTGACCCCAGGGGACACTATGACCGTCATAAATATGAGTCGGTTGCCAAGTGTCCAGATTTTGATCCGGCGGCCAATGGGGATCCTGCAACGGTCGTAAGCAGGAAAAATGGTCATAAGACCCCCTTTTTTTTCCAATGCTGTGGTGACTTGAATGTTCGAGGACTATCTACCGTGTGAGAAAGCAACTTCAAAATGCTGGAATTCTGAGATATTGATAACAGGTGTTGCCACAAGATCAGGAAAATATGTTTCTTTCTCATTTTTTAATCAATTTTATTAATTTCCTATTAATTACATTACTTAGTGCTTAATATACTCATTGTGTTGTCTGGGTATTTGATTTGCTTATCAATGCAAATGCTATTCTTCCTCTCCATCCCATTTTCCCAACCGCTAGTAAAGTAAATTCCAAGTTTGATAATATTCTGTGTCTTCTTTTCTGTTTGATTTTCAGTCGTAGGTCTGTCCACTTCTGCGCAGTCTAATATCTTCTTAATTATCTCTTCATCTGGAGGTGTTTCTTCACCTTTCCAATATTTTTCTGTTTGTCTTCTCTTGCATCCGGAATTGTCATGGCAGATTTGAAATTGCGGGACGTTTTTTCCCCCCCTCATTATCTTGTCTTCCTGGCCCAGATTCATGTTTTTGTTAACTTTTCCATAATTTGGAAAGTTCAAGGCCCTCCTCTCTACTGTTCTTTCTCTCCGGATACCGTGTTTCCCCGAAAATAAGACCCTGTCTTATTTTTTATTTTATTTTTTGCCACCAAAAAAGGCACCAGGTCTTATTTTCGGGGGATGTCATCCACTGACTAACCTCACTTGCACGCATCGCCCCCGGCCTCCTTTTAACTGTCAGAGGCCTTCAGGAGCTTCTTCTCCAGCCGGCAAGGCTTTCCTGAAGGCCCCGACAGCTGATCGATCCTGAGCTTTGCTCTCAGCTCCAGAGGCGTTCAGGAAAGCCTTGCCGGCTGCAGAAGAAACGGGCCGGCAAGGCAGGTGTCGGGGTGTGCGAGGCCTGGCTACAACTGTCCAAAGGTGAGTAGTAGGGCAGCTCCACCACCACCCACCATCCCCACCCTAGCTTAATTTTTACGCGTCCACTCTGGAGTGGGCGAGATCTTAATTAGGGCTTATTTTGGGGGGTAGGGCTTATATTGGGCGCATGTGTAAAAATCAAGCTAGGACTTACTTTCGGGATAGGTCGTATTTTCGGGAAAACGATATTATTTGACAACGTTCCCTTGTAATTCTTCCAAATTGTAGTTACTTTTCATGTTTAAGGGGGGGTTACAACTTAGTTCCAGTTTTTCAGAGGAGGTGAGCTAGGTTGGAAAAAATATATATAAATTGGTATTTATCACACATCTGTTAGAAAGAGAGGCTAGCATTCCCTATAGAATGGAGTAATAACTCCTCGAATTACATTATTTTACTTATTGGTTATTTGAAGTTACAACAGCAGTGGAAAAAGTGACTTACGATCATTTATCACACTACAGCATCCCCTGTGTGACTTGTTTTTATGACGGTCACAGTGTCCCCATTTTGCAACCTCCTGACAGAGAAAAGCCCATGGAAATCCACTTAACAACTGCGTCACTAAGTTAACCGCTTCGCTTAACGACCATGTCAAGAAAGGCCGTCAAAAGGGACCAAAGCTCCCTGGACAAAATGTCTCACTTGGACACGCGTGACAGAAATTTTGCCCAAGCTGAAATATTGGGCTCGGTTGTGGTCGTAAATCGAGGACTGCGTGTAATTTTCATGTAGTTGGAATTGGTGGGCAGTTCAACCATTTTCCTACCCTGGTTTTTTATTATTATTTTTTTTTCCCCTCATCTCTGCCAGAAATGCCCGATACCGCACTGCCCAATCCGGCGGTCCCTCCACGGACACCACCCACGCGACTGCCTCTTCTACCTGCGGGACTGGGGCGTGCCACGTCTGCAGAAGCTCCTCCAGGTGGGTTGGGCGTGGGGGGGCGGTGGGGGGGGCTTCAGGAGCGGGGAAGAGGGGTGTGTGGAAGCCAAGGGGGCTTATAGGGGGGACAGGCCTCTTGGGAGACTAACTGGGGTTCTCTTTCCTTCTCTCCACTCCAGGATAACAACGTTGCCTTCAACACAGACCCCCCCGCGGGGACCCGGGCCACACCCGGAGGTGCGTGTGACCAAGTTGCTGGGAAGCTCACCTGTCCTGTCCTGGCTATGTTTTAAGTCCTGAATGAAAGCTTTCACCTTCAAATATTTCACTTTACATCACTGCTCTCTACTGTACTCCACTCCACTTTATTTTACTTCACTTTATTTTATTTTACTTCACTTCATTTTACTTCACTGCGCTTTATTTTACTTTATTTTATTTTACTTCACTTT